TAATAGATGTGGTATAAGACTTTGTATTACATAATAAAATGATATGAATGTTTTTTGTGTTGTTTACTTTTTTAATTGTGCAGGTTTAAAGATGCCCATATTAGCCGAGAGATGGCGACTGTATTTAGGCCTTCCTTTGCTGGTCCATGGCATAGATAGCAGGAAGTCCCTCTGAAAGTTCGCGACTTGATGTTCCAGCGCTTTCGGGTTGGTGTACCCTTTTAATGTAATTATACATATAAGGTTGTTGTTTTTATATTGATATAAATATTGTGTATGTAGGCCAAATTCCAGTGGGAACTAGAGCTGGATGACATGGTTCGTGATTTATGGATCAAAGCCATGCACAATAGGTACTCAAATTGGATGAGCATTGCATGTGACTGGGCTGTGGCACAAGCCTATCCTTGTGCTCAACAATGGGATGGTGAGGATTTCTCACGGTTTAGATTACACCGCTTTATATGGATCCTAGAGAGGTTTTAGATTCACATAATTAACCATATATGCATCTCTATTGTGAGCTTTGTGAACTGCCATGTGTATTGTACCGACTTATATATATGTTATGGTTTTAACAGGCTTGGATATCGACTCTTGGAAAAAGAAATCTAGGATCAATAAGGACAATAAGAACACACAGCTTGAGGGGGTGTTGTCTAGGCACACAAGGGGATCGATCAGTACTGCATAACATCGAGACATGATAGTGAGCATATATATTTTTTTGAATATGTAATTTGTTCTCTATGTTTACTAACAAGTTAACCTAATTGTCTAATGTATGTAGAAGTAATGGGTCGTGAGCTGACTGCTACTGAGGTGTTTGAGCATACTCACTACAAAAACTGAAAGTTCGATCAAGGTTCGTCTGGCCCGCCTACTAATCCTCCTCAGTTTAGTTACCCCAAAGCTGCTAAGATATCATGTATGTTTTTTATTCTAAAAAACATTACTCTAGTTCATAAATACGTTTGGTAGGCTTAAAGTAATATATTTTAATAACCACAATGATGCTATTAGTTTGGGCTGCCATTGTTGGGAAGACGTTAGGCTAAGTAGATAGGTTGAAAATGTGACTACCATCGGTAATTAGAATGCTTTAACTGTTAAAAACAGGCATTGGATATGTTTGATTTATAGTCGTTATGCTGCTGAAATTTCTACATATATAACCTCACATGCGTTTTGTTTCAGTGAACCATATGAGTGATTTCAATTGCTTAGGAAGAGTCACGGTTTAGTATCGACACCGCTCCCGCTGATGAGGCATATCTTTGGGAGCAAAGTGTCAGAAGGCGGAAGAAGGGCCATCTTTTTGGTTTTGGGACTTCCCAGGATCCATCTTATGCTATGACTTGTAGATGTAGAAGTAGCACTTGGAGATCATACGATTTAACAGCGGAGGTATGTTGGTATATTGTTATATACTTTCTCATTAGTTTTATTGCAAACAAATAATTGATTTTGTCGAATACTGAATATTTACAGGTTGCAGAGTTGAGAGAGAAGTTGGCAAGGGTTGAGGGGAGGCACGGTTGCAGGAGGAACGCCGTCAGGCCGAGATAGAGGTCGAATGGAAGAGTAGGGCAGATTTGGAGGCCGAACAAGCCAGACACGTTGCCTAGTTAGCGGAAGAGGTCGCGTTATCGGAAAATTTTGTTGTGTTTATGCAGCAGTCAGGATGCATTTTCCCTCCTCCCGGTAATTAGATTATATGAATTTGAACATTAAATTGTATGAATTGGATATTTTAAATTGTAGGAATTTGATATTTTAAATTGTATGAATTAGTTAGTTTAATTTGTTCACAGTTTTGGTTTGTTATTTTATGGCCAGATTTTTTATAAATAAATATAGGAATTATGTACTTATAAATTATTTATTTTTAAATTAATAAAAGTTAGTGATGGATTAGCGACGGAAAATCCGTCCCTAAAAGTTCCTTATCCCTCGCTAATCTGTTCCCTAAAAGTCCCTCGTTAATCTGTCGCTAAAATTATCCATCGCTAATCTATCGGTGAAAGAATCTGTCGTTGATTCATCGCTGAAAGTTTCTATCGCTAATCCCGTCGCTGAAAGTTTCTTTTGCTAAAAGTGTGCATCGCTAATCCGATTTCCGTCGCAAATACTAATCGTCATTGATCCGTCACTAAGTCCGTCGCTGATAGCATTACCTAATAGCTTTTGACCAACGGACGATCAACAATGAATCGGCGATGAATTATGCCTTTAGCGACGGATCAACGATAGAAAATTATTTTTGTAGTGGATCCAATCCAAATTTTCTTATAACCACAGGGACGAAATTGTAATTTACTCTTTGTAGAATTATATACTCCAATAAGATATAGATCAAACCCAAATATTTGACATGTAAGAATTAGAAGTAATAATATGGATAAACATCAAGTATATATAAACAAAAATTAAGAACAAACAAATTAAACATTGAGTCGATCTTGTGAACCCAATTTTTTGTTAAGACTAAGATCATTTTCAACCCCAAGTAGCAACAAAAACCCCAAATTGGTGGGAATATTGACACCAAAAACTGCTTCAACTTCAACCATACAATATATATGTCGTTTGAACATAAACAATTCATATGTCATTACTCTCGTGTTCTTTTTGTGGTACATATGAGCACCCTTTTTCAGCAAATTGTTGTTTTGGGTTGGAGTTGCCCTACAAAGTGAAAAGAGAATATAGAAACTACGTTTTTTGTTCCTACGATTTGTAGAAAATTGCTACTTATATTCATGATCTTTCAAAATTACGAGTTATGTTCTTGTGGTTTGCGAGTCCTGATTTTCATACCATGAACTAACTCCGTTAAATTTCAGGCGTTAACTCAAGATCATTTTGGTTCATTAACTTTATATTTAATTTTGTTTTAAAAAAATAATAAAAATAATCAGTATATTATATTATATTATATTGAGTAAATTATACCATTGGTCCCCGTAGTTTGTTCAAAATCTGGATATAGTCTATATTTTGAAATAAGTACATTGGGGGTGCCTGTGGTTTGCAGTTCGTTTCAACCTAGGCTCCTCTTTCAAAAATAAGTACACCGCATGCCCTAATGATACCAACACCATTAAATCCATTTCGTTAACTCAAGGACATTTATGTCAATTTTACCCTTTTCTCTTTATCTTTTTACTAAAATTTTAAAAAGGATTTCACACCCATTAAACATTTTCCATATTGTCCCTCTTCCAATCCTTCTTCTCTCACCCAAACCGTCTTCCTCACCCATGTCATCATTGACCTCTATTCCTCCACCCAAACTGGTGAACCCATTCGTCCCATTCTTGCACCCAAATCGTCTTTCTCCGCTTGCAGATATCACTTGCAAAACCTACTTGTTGCAGAAAATATTGAAAGAATCGAAGGACTCAAATCGAAAATCCACTTGCAACTCGTTAAGATGGTGATAACGTCTGACCACCTACAACTCCAACCATTACTGCATCACCGCATGCAGGACCAGAGGGGACCGTGAGGTGGGTTTTCTGATCGAAGCTCTGTGTGTGTGTGTTTTAGATGACCGAAGTTTGCAAAAGGAACGGGTGGAACAATATTTGTCATCAGAGTAAGAGGTCACACCTCTATTTTTGTGTTGTGTGTGGCCGAAGATGGAAGGTGTGGTTATTTGGGGTGGCGGTGTGTGTGTATATTAGTAGTTATAATCATTTAATTTAAATTTAGAAATGAGATAAAACTAAAAAGACCTATTTACCCCTGAGTTAAGGGATGTTTCTAATGGTGTTAGTGTCAGGGACCTAGCTCGTAACAAAATGCAAACCATATTTAGATTTTGAGCTAACCACAAGAACCAACGGTAATTTACTCTATTATATTAAATATGCTCTCATTCATGCAAATCCTCCATCACCAAACTCCTTCCCCGAACCCAGTGACACTGTTCCGATGACTGCTCCTTTTTGCTCAAAGTGACAACGATACCTACTCCTTCATGTACAACGACATTCAATCCGAGATCTAAACCTTGTGGTGGCAACTACTCTTTTCTTCACTACATATTGTCTTCCCCGATTTTCTTCCTCCCCTACATACAACCCAAACTAAACAAGACAACAAGGATTGGAGGACTCTTCAACAAGTTTAGTCCATAAAATCATCACTATGAATCAATGGGAAGATGTTCAAAAGCGTTCTCGAAACAGTCATCCTATTTCCCCTTTATGACATGTTTCTTTGCATATTAGTCAGAAGCAATTACTTGGTATTGAGATTATGATTCACGAAAATTTTTCGAGGAGGTTCAGACACTTTTCAGGTCCTAAGCTTCTAATTCATAAAGTTGTCCAAGATGTCTAGATGGGTTTTATTGGTACGAGCACAGACGGGCTGGTCAAACAGGACATGAGCCATTGTTTAGAAAAATGGATAGATTTTGAGATTTAAGCTTAGAAAAAGGAAAAAAAGCATTAGAAAGGGACTATGGGAAAAGAAGAAGGAAGGGTTATCGATTCTTTAAAGGTGGAGAGCAAGGTTACACTTGTTTCAGTTCATCACGATAGAGAAAGGACAATATGGTTATGTATTTCATTATTTATATATAAGATATTATTAATTTTAATAGAAAATTAAATAACATTGGTAAAAGAAATTAAAATATCTCATATTTAACAGACTTTTTTAACAATGTTATCTAAGATTGAATTAAAAATTATCCTAATTATATTTTATATTTTAAAATGTGATGTTTATCTTCTATTTGATTATGTTTATGTACAATTAATTACACGAATTCAAGCATGAAGCTTTAGCAAGTTGTACTTATGCATAATTTACTTGTAATATTAAATTTTAAGTAATTTGCATTAATATACAATATTTTATACATAAAAATGATTTTTAAGAGTTTTTATCAAATACTTTATTATATAGTATAGATAAGGATATAATATTTTAATTTCAAAAACCATGGAAGAAACTAGAAAGTAACAATTTAAAAAAAAAAAAATCCTGCAGGGACGAATACTCCAGACTCCAGGGAATATAAATAGCTCAAAAGTTGCATAAATATTTCCAGTTGAATCAAACAATTCAGTAGCACATAAACCTTTCACTACGAAACCCTAATTTTCTTCATCCGACTAACAACAATGGAGTTAAACCAGCAGCACAATCATATGCCTTCTTCCATGTACACTTACTTCTCCGATCAGGCTGTAAAAGGTACAAGATCACTGATCATTTTCTTTCGATATCTTGAATATTCAATAATTGAAGAGGATTATTCCATCTGATGACACTGTTTCTCAAGGATTTCAGCGAGTGTAGTTAAATTTTGCATGGTGTGTTACAGTGCGATTATTGAATAGAACAGGTATGAACAGAGTGGATAGCAGAGAGGAGATTCAGATTGAACTTGAAAAGGAGAGGATACGGGAGCAGATAGTGGCGAAGGAAATAGTGCGTTTGGGGGAGAAAGTGAGGAGAGAAATGATGATGGATAATGGCTGGGGATTTCCATCGCGTGGTCCACCGGTGTCGTTTGAGGAGAACTACGGACGTCACAATCAAGAAATTGCGGTCCAGCGGCTTCCTTGGTTACCACAAATGAATCTTACTGATATGGTTAGTATCATTCTTCTCTGTTTGTTTATCAATGCAACTTTGGAGAATCTCTACTGTATATTTTATTTATAAACCCAATTTAGAACTTCCTTAGGTTAATTGTTTATTCTGATGAAGAATTTATGGATTGGGTTCTTGTTAAGGGAGATTATTTTCTGCTCAATCCGGTTTCGTTCATTATTGTTTTAAATTTCATAGTTGGAGGTGATGCATCAATGGATCTGAGTTCCATTAAACATTCCCTAGTTAAGCTTGTTTTCTCTAAAATCATAGTAATAGATCAAAATTCCTCTTGTTGTAGACTTTTTCTTGTCAACATAACCTACACTTTTTGTGGTCGAATCATAGTGAGTCGATTGCACTGGTTTTGGGTCCCTCAGGTATTCAAGAAGATGTTCTAAATTCCATAGGGGTTTGAACTTGATTCATGTCATATACTGGAATCTTGTTTGACAAACAGTAAACTGTTTAGAATTTTTTTATCCGAAAAAGAACCATGTTGAATTGTAAGATTGGCCTCAAACTTTGCCCAAGTGTTGTAGATGGAGGCATTTTGATTTCAGTTGATAAAAAAATGCTCATGTGGTCCAAGTCTTTGGTTATTTAAGGTGCTTGTTTGTTAACATGTTTACTATTTTCTTATTACAAGATTAACATAGCCTTATACTTGATCTTGTTTAGATAATCACTAGTTGTTTTTAGTTGTTAAAAATGCGCGATGGTCGTTGTATTGCTTCATGAAGAAACCTAAATATATGGGTCGTATCGTGAATCTGGCAAATTTTGCAGTGCTGCTAATTCCAGTTGAAATTCTTGATACACAGATTCTATGCATACTTGATGAATTCATGTTTTACTTTTACATACTACAACCCTGCATGTTCTATTAGATATAGATATAACTATCCAATTAATGGAATTACCAAATGCATAAGTTGCTAAACTTGAAATACTCGATATGGTTTATTGACATTTGAGGAATGTGACGTATCTACTTCGCAAGTCTTTTATATTGTCACAATGAACTATGCTTTGGTCTATCTGTATTTATATCCGCAAGATCCGTAGCAATGTACAGCAAGATTACAGTAGTTCTCACTATGGATATTGTTATCATCTGAGTTTCTTATTGCAGGGAAGGCTGAATGGTTCAGCAAATTGGAATGAAAATGGGTCATGGGTCCATGGAGAATCACAAAGGTTCTCTCAGTGGGGATGATGAGGAAGATTAGCAACAAGAATATGTAAACTTCATGTTGTTTGGTGATATTCATCCCTAAGCCCGATCATCCAATTCGCTCCAACAGACAGGCATGGTTCTGTAGTCAAAGCAACTTCGTCACTTAATGTGATATCTTGTGTTTGATTATGTATGTTGCCTTTAATACACGTCTACTTATATTTGTTGCCTTTGATATGCGTCTACTTATATTTGTTGCCTTTAACACGCGTCTAGACTTAGTTTCAAAAGTGAATATTTATGTTGGGAAAACTAAAAATAGAGTTTGTTGACAATCATTTCGCAACAAAGAAAGTAATATTTTTATAATTTTTGAAACAAACGAAAAATGTAATCTACTCTAAAATGTGTTTCTGTAAGCTTGCACCAACATAAATTTTAAGATCGTTGTTAGGGGTGTATAAAAACCCGACCTTACCCATCGACCCTCTTCAAAACAACCCAATTCAAGTCAACTCGAAGCAATTTGGTACCTAATTAAATTGTAAAATCTGCATACCATATGTATTGGGTCGAAATTTGGTCAAGGGCATGTGAGTCCAACCCAAACTAACCCAATGAACTTGATATCTTTATTCATCATGGATTTAATATCTATCTAGATTATATTATAAAGCATTTGATAAAAACTTTAAAAAATCATTTTTTATGTATGAGGTATTGTTTATTGATGCATATTACTTATAATTAAAATTGCATAAGTACAACTTATTAAAGTTTTATATTTGAATTCGTATAACTAACTGCAGATAAATATAATAAAATACTGAATAAATATCTCATTTTAAATATAAAAAGTCTAAAATATAATTAAGATAATCGTTGAGTTTTAACAGAATACTTAGTTATTGTTTTTATAAAAAATTATATTATTAAACCTAAATTAATTATTTTGTTACTAAACCTAAATTAAATTATAATAAAAAATTTTGAATTAAGAAAATTATACAAAAAACAAAAACTTTTAAAAAGGTTAATACAATGCTGATATTGATATATTCTTTTTCAAAATTTTATAATATTTTTAAATTTGTATTTTATTCAAAATAAAAACATTACTGTTTTCTTAAAATCACATATAACCATATTATATCGACATAAAAAAAGAATAAAACGAAACACTAAAATCGAAATATGTCTTGATGTATTGTACGAGTATCCTTCTAGTTATTATTAAATACTTAATTAATATATGCATATAGCCATTAGACCTTTGATCAACCCGTAATTAGTTCTATTCAAAATTATACCACAATTTTAACTGCAATTACACATTCTTATTTGTATGAACATTCAACTTTCTTCTTTGAGTTTAGTAGCCTTATTTGTATGTTCTCGTTTTGATTTTAATTCATTGAGACAACAATTGTTTAATTAAATAATGAAATGATGCATAAAAGTTTCAACCGGATTTGGATTGGATTATTTATATATCTTCAGTCGTACCAACCCAACCTATATACAACCCCAATCATTGTTTTAGAAAACGTTAGAGACGTGTGTCTCAAGACCCGCCACGCCTCATGTATTTTTTATAACCTGAGAAAAATCTTGAAATATCCGGCAACTCACCCAATTAAGGCACAAATCGTTATGTCATGGTTTTAAAAAATTGTCCTGATAATTTATTACGAACAGATCATATCGAGTGTTTTATTGGTTAAGAGATCAATTTATGTGATGTCCATATAATATCGGATTTCAACAAGTCATTATTTAAATGATGCGAATTAATGTTTTTTGTTTTATTTATTTATAACGTTTCATTATTGGAATTAAACAAATGCATAAAGTTCTAAAAGGAATAAATGGTTATTGCATCATATTACAACTTGAACAGTTACAACTTTTTGTAGTTATTACTTTTGAGATATATATTTTTTAAATATTAATTTATTTTTTAATATTAAATATGTTTTATATTATTTAAAGATATATCTATAATCATAAGTGGTCTGTTAACTATTTTCTAGTGCCTGAAATCGAAACCTAGCTTCATAATTTTTTGAATTAAAACTAAAATGCAGTATACAAATTAATCTATTTTTATTTGATTTGTGGTTCGGTTAATCGTTTTATGAAATCATAGCTTTAGATAAAATGTATATTGTCTCGTTGTTTAACGTGTCCTTTCCTAAAAAGTTGTATAAAAAAACCTAGTTTACTTCAAGTCTGATAGAATAAAGACTACACACTAATGATATTCAAGTCCTTTCCTAAAGCTGATCTATTAAAACCATGTCTTTTCTTGATGAGGTATATAATTTTGTAATGAAGTTTAAAACCTCTAAATCCTATATGTTCAATATGAAAGTATCACTAAGGTACAAGAAACAAAGAAAAAAAAAACTTGGTGAGACAATATGAATGTTTTATTTGTGGAAAAACTAAATCTTTGTCTGAATTACACTAGTGTTTTAACTGCCTATTAATAGATCTCGAGACTGTTGGAGGAGAATATTCCAACTCTGAGACACTAGCAAAATTCCTAGAATGTTTTCCAGAATCATGTGATAGTTACACCAAGTGTCTTAAAATATCAAAAGACATCCAATCTCTCTCTCAACACCCTATATGGGATTTTGCTCAATGATGAACAATCTCGTCAGCTAAATAAGAATCTCATAAGAGATTCAAAAAAAATCAAAAAGCTCTCCTGTAGCTTTACTTTCTGAGACTCCTTTAGTGACAACTCTCACTCTTACAATCACTAACTTAGACCAACCCAACTCTGAGGATTTAACTGACGCTTATCTTTTAGAGTTTGATATGTCACTACTTTTCTTACAAATTCATTTAGAAGATTTGCCAGAAAAAGTAATTTTCGAAGACCTCCTACATTAACTATCACTGACAAGTCAAAATCAACCCCGATTGATAAGACTTCAGTGATCTGCTTCAACTGTGAACGCAAATGACAATTTTCAAGTGAGTGCAGGTCTAAGAAAGTCGTGAATCGATCTTCCAACTCATCCTCCTCCAAATCAAAAAGATGATAAATATCTAAAACTGAAGGAGAAGTATAAAAAGATGAAGAACTACCAGTGTAAAGGCAAGGGTCTTATCGATGAAGAATATGATTAGGTTGATTCATTTGATGAATCCTCCTTAGATGAGTCCTCGTTAGATACCTGCAAAGGTTAAGAGTGGTCTAAACCATGTCAAAATGTGGAACTTTTGTCTCATCTATTCCTGACACTTCTTCTACTCAATGTTCCTCCACATCTGAGTCTAAACCTATTCTTGAGGAAACTCCTTAGACAAAGGTAAATCCATTGTTAACATTCCTCAAAATACCAAGAAAAACCAAAAGAAGAAGAAGGTTTCCTCTAAGCCCTCAACTTGTCAATCTTCAACTTCTGGTAAAACGATCTCTGGACTTATTTAGAGATCAACCCCAAAGGTGAAAGTTGATCTTAGTCCATAGAAACCTGTTGTTCCTCCAAGGACTTTTGGAAAAGGTATTCTTGGACCAGGTCCTTCTCATCTTAAGCTTTCTAACTCTCATGCTTCAAGCCCCAAAGCTTCCTTCAACTATAGGAAGTGCTATCACTATGGTGAAACAACTCACATTGCTAGCAAATGCATAGTTGCTACCGAAGCTGAGAAATCAATTATGGTAAAGAAAATCACCAAAGCTGAAAAACTAGGAAAGGTGAAAACCGCAAAAGTTGGTAAAACAACAAGAGTGAAGAAAACTACTAAAGCCGAGTCATTAGACACGGTGAAGAAAGTCAAAATCTCCACATCCACTAACTCAGCTGGACTTATTGTAAAATGGTTACCAAAGAAAAGTTAATTTTTTCTATATTGTAGGGAGTCAAAGACATCTGGTATCTTGATAGTGGATGCTCAAGACACATGACTGGTACTAAGTCCCTGCTATCTGAGTACAAGGAAGAAAAAGTCTCTCAGTAACCTTTGGTGGAGATGGAAAAGGATACACCAAAAGCTGTGGTGTATTAACCAATGGAGTAACCACGTTCAAATGTGTTGCTTACGTTGAAGGACTAAAGCATAATTTTCTCGGCATCAGTCAACTATACAATAAATACTTCACAGTGAGATTCTCAAAAAGGACATGTTCAGTCATTGACAAGGATAACAAACTTGCATTGACTAGACCTCGTTTAGAAAACGTCTATGTCATCAACATGGATTCTTCTCTCACCGAGAACATCTGCTTTCTCTCTAAAGCCACATCAGATGTCAACTAGCTATGGCATAAGAGGCTCTCTCATCTAAACTTCAAGACGCTTAATGACTTGTCCAGAAAATAACTAGTCACTGTCTTCGTTAGAATTTTTTTTTTGCAAAGGAATCTCTTTGCTTAGCTTGTGAAAAAAAGAAAGCAAACAAAGGCTATTTCAAATCAAAAACAGGTCTTCTTAGTGACCACTCTCCAACTACTTCATATGGATTTATTTGGTCATGTCAACATTCAACCCATCACTGGAAAGAAATATACCTTGGTTATCGTTGATGAGTTCTCCAGATATACTTGGGTATTATTTTTTAAGATCCAAGAGTGACACACTTGAAGAAATTATTTCCTTTATGAGAAAAATGGAAGTACAGAACATCCTTACTGTCCGTTCAATAAGAAGTGATCATGGCACTGAATTCAAAAATAGTACTATGGAAGACTTCTTTGAGAACAAGGAATCTCTCACAATTTCTCAGCTATAAAAACTCAGCTAAATGGAGTCACTGAAAGAAGAAATTGAACAATCATTGAAGCTGCTCGATCTATGCTCAACAAATCTCATCTTGTTACTAAATTTTAGGGTAAAGCGATCAACACTGCACGTTTTACTCAAAATTGGTCGTTGATCGTCAAGCGCATCAAGAAAACAACCTATGAACTTTTCCAGGGAAGAAAACTCACTCTTAGTTTTCTTTATATCTTTGGTTGTAAATACTACATCCTAAACAACAAAGATAATATTGGGAAGTTTGACCCTAAAGCTGATGATGACATCTTTCTTGGATATTCTTCAGTATCCAAGGCCTTCAGAGTGTTCAATGAAAGAAGACAAACCGTAGAAGAAACTATTCATGTCACTTTTGATGAATCACATTCAGCTAATTCTAAATCTATCCCTGATGATGAAGAAGAACTGAATAAATGGATGATATCTCACTTCGGAGAACCTAAAGCCTCGTTTAATATTCAATCGTATGC